ATCCGCTTGCCATGTTGATCTGTACGAACAACAACAACGCGATTGGTGCTGAATCTTTTTCTGACTTTAGCATATAGTGTATATGCTTCTTGTCTTGTCAAGAACTCTTCAATTTGCTTACCGGTAATTTTTTAAAAATCTTTTTACGGCACTTCATATAATTTCGACGCGCTTTCAAAACTTGTATTAGTAACTGTAAGTATACAGCCATTCTTGTTATCAACCAAGCTCTGCAAAGGTTCTGCAACCTGAGGGTTCCTTTTGATCTGCGTTCCAAATCCATTATTTTTTCCTCCAGTTATGCGTGTACCTGCGATTGTAATTCGGCCAAGTACAGATAGTTTAAAAATTACAGGGGGTACCCTACCATGTTGTTTTTCATGATCGGAAATGATGTTAAAAGGTTAGGCCAAAGCCAGGTTAAAGTGCGTTCAACTATATGTTTAAAATTCATAATAGCTTGAGCATTTCAATGTAAAAAAATAAAAAAATAAAAAATAAATGAAGCTGAAATTGATGGTTGAAGGAAAAAGTAAAATAAGCAGTTTAATTTGTATTTTGGATCCTTTATTTCTCAACATTAGTGTCGACAACACATGAACAATTAACAATTTACAATACACTTAACAAAACAGAAATTCCCACTAAAGTATGGAGCAAGGGGAAGTGTATCAGTGCGTTGCGTTCAGGCATTCATTAGCTATATTGCTTTAACAAAAATATAACAGCATCACAGTCTATCAAAATGTCTTAAAACACATCACAGCAAATCATATTATTCAAGCATAGAGAAACGAAATAAATCGGCAGCAAAATAATCTGTAACTGAGCTTTAAAATACACACATCAAAAACGTTGATTGAAATTATCTTAAGAGTAACATTTAATATTATTAGAGTCGAGCCTTGAACCAAGACATCGTCAAGAAAGAAAATACTATCAAAAGGACGGGTAAAGGTAAGAATACAATGGAGACATGCCACATATAGATGAACAATGTTTGAGTGTTGTCGGGCATATAGTCAGATAGGCAGGTTGGACTTGGAGATGATGGCAATTAACGCTGTTGCTCAGTAGCATCAGTAGAGGAAGAAGTGGTAATTAAGTCTGTCAAACATCACCTTAAACGAGGCCAACTCGACTTCCCTTACCCCAGCTGCCTTACTCTTGGCATTGTGACCTATTGTGTTTACCGTGTAATTATATCTTTGTTTTTTAGCACTCTGTTTGAAAGTTTATAATTTGTCGCTTATAGTTTGGTATAATGTTTCAAACTGTTCCACATGTGCGACTAACTGTAATTCATTGTCGGAAATGCAGCTCTGTAATAACTCTGAGTGATCCATGCTGCCTACCCGTGTCCTTTAAAATTCGGAATATCTATATGCAGCATAGTGCAATGACTCTGCATTTTTTCTCAATCCCCAACTTCATGCAATGTTCCAGAAAAAAAATCATATATCTATTTGCTCTGAACGCAACTGATAATCTATTTAAATGACTGATAGTTTTTCTCAGTCCTTGGGTTTATACAATAATAGTTCTATAAGCCTTTGTCTCATTATTTTGCAAATACTCATAGTTCAATTATTGTGCAAGGAAAGTAACATAACGTTCATGTTTGGTAGTCACAGTACGATGGCTTTAACAGTTTTGCAGCATCTAAAGTATTTCAGACTGTAGCATAAAACGTTGCTTGCAGAGGTCCGTTTGCCCCACGTTCATCCTTAAGTTATATAGTCCAGTCTGTACCATGAGGTTGGAGTCGTTATTGTTTCCTTGGTGACAAATTACACATGACTGTTCAAGCGCTTTTAACACGGGTCGTGTGGTTATTGTGGTGAGTATGGCTAATTAGGTCAATTCATACAGAAGTGACAATATGGACACCTAATTTCTTCACAAGCTACAATTGAGTCCACTCCCCTTATAACTCAGCATTTTAAACAATGTTATAAATGTATGGAATACTTTCTGGTTAATGGTGTATGATGGTTGTAACACAATGTATTGAGAGGCTTTTGTCTAATGTAACACATTTATAACAGACACAGTCAATAACATCTGACCCTATATAAATATAGATCATGTATAGTTATTTTTAAAAAATGTTTCAACTGTATGGTCATTATAGTGTTGATATTGATAATTTAATAACCTAGATTTTATAGTCATAATCCACAAACCGTAATATATCATGGCAAACTGTACAATCATATGTATATTTTAAAATGATTTATAAAATATTTAAAGAATATATAAACAATGTACTACAAAATATTGTTTCGGTTTTTTAGAGATAATGTAGATACAGAACCCTTTGTGAAAACTGTATATTTCCTATCATACTGTTATCTGGGTGTTTATAATTATAAAACACATTAACATATGTGAGTTGTTCATTCTTGCGCAATGTAAGTGTGGGCCAATGAATGACCTTATTCTTAGAATAATTGGTGAAATGCCGAAAACTGGTGGTTTATGTAGTGTCTCTTTTTGGATTTTATAGGGGGTTGCGTCAGAAAAACTTAAAATAAGTAAAATTTTGAACTATACCAATATGATATATTTATTTTATAAATATATGTATCTTATATATGTATAAACTAACGGTATGAAAGTGTTCCAGCTTGTGTTTGATAATTATCATACAAGATCCAACTACCAAGCTAATTAATTTTTTTGCTAAAATAACCTACAACAAAATATTGTATTATTGGTATACAGTAGTTTGTTGAAAATATGTTATATATGAAAAGTAATACTTGTTACCGAGAAATGACTGTTTGTTATGAAGAGACATGGAGATTTGTAAAGTTATAAATTACCAAAGGGTTGAATCATACGACAACACAACCCAGACGCCATTGTATCTAAAGAAGGTACATATTTTCTTTAAAGCACCAAGAAGCGGAGAACTTTGATTGATATAAAAGTATAACAAGCCAATGGTATGTCTGATATTTGGGCTGAAATAGGTCGATTCATTGCTATTCTATGCATTGTAAAAGGACACTGTCTATTTCAGAGTTCTGAAGTAAAAGAGTTATTTACAACTGAAACTTTTCCATTGCATCAAGGCAGTTGTAGAACTGCAACAAAGACAATCCTGCGAATTATCTGAAAGTTTAATAATCTAAATCTGTATGAAACAAAATGGCTTAATAACCATAAGCTATGTGTCGCATATTATTTTTAGTACAAGTAGTAACAAACGTGTAATAAAAATGTGGTTAAAGACAAAAGTTCTGAATTATTTTGACTTATTTTCTGTTTGATAATATTTTCCCTTTGGAGAATTACTCATCCTGTTTTCAAAATTTTATTTCCAAATTTATTTTTAAATACAAATTCAAGAGTATTTATACTGTATTTCTCAGTTTTGGACCAGCATTCACTTGTTTTCGTTACAGTGCCTTCCTTTTGCGTGAATACCAGGATTGTTTAATTCTGATTTGTAAATCCATCATTCTATATTCTCTATGAAGGCAATCTCCAAGATTCCTGTTTTACACACACACACGCACACAAACTTACGCATAAACGCACACACACGCACAGGCATGCACACAAACATACACATACACACAAACACACACACTGACAGAGACATAAACCACCACCAACATCACAACTTAATCTCCCCCCCCCCCCCCCCCCCCCCCCCCCCCCACTCCCCCCGGCTAATCCCTTCTTTATTACACCGGCCCTCGGTGTACCGTGTATATCAACAGATCTTTTCTCAACTGGAGACGTATTTACAGTAGAGGATGGATAATTCTTCAAGTACCAAAGGGACTGTTGTCTTGTTGTCTTTATTTTGTCCATTGTTTAGTCACGGTTTAAACTACATTCAGTCACACCTACCAACCAGCTACAGCTCTTAACACATCTGTGGAGTTATCAATTTCAAAGGGATTCAATGATTTAGAAAAAGTGGACATATTATTATCAACATACCAGCACTCTTGACCATATTGTTATTCAAAGCCAGCCGAAAATAAATAAATTCATAAATAAATTAATTAATTAATAGACCCCCGGCAAGACTCCCGTCCCACTGTCTGAGATGTAGATCTACATGTCATTGTACCAAAGTCATCGAAGTTGTGATAATTGTAGTATTTCATACATTAAATCATTCAATCCCATTAACTTCATTTTATGCTAATAAAATTTAACTGTCACAACAGAAGGCAACGGGGAAATTTAAATGTGTTTTTTTTTAGTTTTTTTTTTTTTTTTAGAATAATCATTAAATAAAAAAAAAAAAAACATTCGACACTTTTGAAGCTGATCAAAATAAAAATTCTAATAGGCCAAACGTGCACCTACCTCGGTCTTACCCCCATTCACCCTCCTCCCCTCCCCCTCCGCCAAACACACACACACACACCACCACAACAACGTTTAATAAGAGCAAAGTATCTACGGCCAATCCCCATCTTTACGCCAGCCTCCGAGTTTTTTTTTTTATCATTTATTTCCATTTAACGTGAGACGTACTGGAGACGCATATAAAGTAGAGCATACAGGTAATCCTTCTAGCACCACAAGGGGCGACATTCTTTTTTGCTGACGCTTTGGATAATTTATATAGTCTCCCGCACGAAAACGCAGTAGATACTCCAGCGCAGTAGATACTGCAATCATGCTGCAAACATGCTTCAAATCTGCTTCGATTTGGGAGCTAATTAGCATATTTGAAACATGCTTCTATCATGCTGCTAATCTACTGCATTAATGCTCCTCTCTATACAAACCTATGTCCTTTTTGGAGTAGAATTGCAGTAGGCTATGCTGCATTTCTACTGCAAATATGCTCCACACCACTACTGCGTTAATGCTTCTTTGTTACTTCGATACTACTGCATTTTCGTGCGGGCTGCCTGCCGATAATATTGCTCATTGTTATACAGCAACTACACACAAGGCAGTTTAAATATAACCAGTGCGTCCCAATTTATCCCTTCGAACAAAATACGCAAGCGTTCTTTATTTGGGCCTTTTTCTACGGCGCAGTAAACAAGCCCTTCATATAAAACTGGTTTGCAAGGTACGTTTTATTTAGTGCATTTACAAAAGCCTGTAAGCTGGTCAAAGGAAAAAGGTATGTATGATAGACATTTTTTATGGATTTTCTTTAGGTCTATACATCAATTAATGATTATCCCAGACAATCAAATGTGACGTCTTATTTAGACTAAGGAACTTTTCCCAGACCCTGTCGTACTAGCTGTGGATCGATCTCCTCCAAAGGGGATTCTAGCTAAATTGCAATCAACTTAAGCGGCTTAGATCTCTATCACGGCTACTGAAGCTTCTAGGGGGTATTTAATTATCGTTAAGCAGCTTCAGTAGGCATACCAGACACCTATGCCGCCGAAGCTGAAAGCAGATTAGCGAGAAACCCCTTGGATATGGATCGATCCTGTTAGATCGATCTAGGGTATGGGGGCCCAGTCTTAATTTCCATTTAGATTTACCAAAAGATTTGCTGCACAAAGCAAGCGTAATGGGTATATTAAGATAGTATAAATTATATTAACATATCAGACCATATTATATTATATATTGCATAGCAGATCAGCTTTTTTTTTTTTTACACAAGTTACACCTGCGTGACGTGTATATATAAATGGGGGTTACATGCGTAGACATTTAATAACATAAAGGAGACGGACGCACCTGCGAGTCATTTAGTGAGATACCCTTACTACTCATATGAGAGTGAGAGAGAGGCAGGGGGGAGGGAGAGAGAAAAAGAAATACATATATGGTCAGTTTACAGAACATTTAGCATGTTGCCAGGATTTTAAGACCATATACCAATAGACGGAAAACCAATAGGCTGTCATATTGGAAAACAAATTGATTTATAGATTATTTTATTTTAAACTGTTCAACGTTTCTTTCAGACGACTCACAATGTGGCCGCATCTGGTGGCTGTTATCATCATCCTGGTGTCAGTATGGTTGTGGTAGGTACAATACATCACTAAATACAAATGTGGTATTGTAGTAGGTATAATACATATCACTATATGTAGTATGGTAGTAGGTACACTATATCAAACTACGTATCTGTAACTGCATGATTTAAAACCTAGTATACATACACATATAACTAATCTCATCATTCGACCAGCACAAATTTGAAAATGTAACAATTACTACAGTGTGGTCGTTCCTCTAATCAGCTGTGACTGTAATACATGCTATATGTATAAGACTTGTTTTAACAACTTATTATTAAAATAATCTCCCGACTCCTTAGAGCTGTAATTGACACTTTCGCTGTGATACATGTAGTAAAAGTGAATGACCCGTCAAGTGCTCTGAATAAGAAATAGAGTTATCACAAACATTGCATTTTCATTACAGGGGCGGATATAGGATTATTTGAAGAGGGGGGGGGGGGGGGCGCTTAAGGCCCCGACAGGTTTATGGTATTTTCGAGGACGAACAGTGCCATTTGGCACGGTTTAGAACTATGATTCAGCTATTTGAAATTCTAAGTTCAAGAGGGAACCATTGGTGATTTTTCTTCAGAAATTGAAGGGGGCCAGGAACCGCAGGACGCCTCACCCCTAAATCCACCACTGTATTATACCTATTCCTAAGATAAACAGTCCGTGTTGTTTTGTATTTAGGCAGAGGATAGACAGTTACCGTGTGTTCAAGAAGATGGGAATCAACGGTCCTCCGCCAAACCTCATATTTGGAAATTTCAGACAGATAATGGTTTGTTTTCATATTGGAAAATAACAACACTGCAAATAAACAGTGTATATTTGTATTTTCCCTTTATTTTTACTCAGACAATTGTGAAAACTAACCAGCTCTCTCTCGAAATGATGAAATACGCTGTATTTACTATCAACGTTATAAGTAATTGTCAGTTGTAATATCATACATGTGGAAGGCTTTTCACACGTAGTCGCCCTCGTCGTTACTTTATCCCAGTAACACCGTGAATGTATGGGGAAACAGCATTCATGTCGATTGTGTCCTCAGGTGACCGTTGTGTTAAAGCTGCAATAAGCTTTTTAAATAATTAAAATGACAATTATACTTTTAAAAAGGACGTAGGAACATTTGATGATGTATTCGGTTGCTATCTAAAATGTCAAATGTTTACGGTGAAAAGTCATTCCAATATGCATCCAAAGTTTGTAAAAAAAGTTACTCACCCTGGATACCAACATTTGAACTACAAAAAATCAGCCAATAGTGAAATGCACATTCATATTGATCTAGTCTCAACCAGTTTGGATGGCATACAGAAAGTGGGAACAGCTCTATGGAAAAACGTTTGGGTATGTATTCAACGCACTCTTCACATATATACAACATATTCTATAATCCTTTTTAGTCTTTATTATCATTTACTATTTTTGTTGCTTTAAACAACTCTTCAAAAGATTGGTGCTTTATCGCCACTATTCATTGCGATACAATGCCAGATATATGAATTATTTACCACTGATCCAAACCATAATTAGCCAGGTCTTGTCTTTATTTTAGGGTCTTCTTTCTCAATTCTCCCAGTATAGTGACCTCGGATGTCGATTTTCTGCAAGAAGTCTTTGTCAAACAGTTCAGTAAATTTCACCAAAGAGCAGTGAGTAACAATTATCAATAACCCCGTAAAGATTTATTGGTGGCATAATCATCATTATTATTTCCCCAAACATGCCGCTTACCAAGAACGGCAATTGTGTTTTCATTTTGATTAGTTGGCCTGCATTTAAGACCCGATTCCCATGGATACTATCTGTCTATGTCAGTCGACCCAACTCTGCAGGGGCTCTTGCTAAGTGCAATCAGCTTAATTGACTGACTCACCTTCTCTTGTTTCAAACTCACTCGTTTCATCACCAACTTTTTTTCTTGTATTCTTCTTAACGCCAGGAGGAGGCGTGACATTCAGCTGTTGCAGACAGCGAGCGTCCCCACGGAGTTAAGTCGATCGATGGTAGACCGATGGTGACTCTGTGAATGAGACCTTAGACTAATGATTACCAGGAATATTGTTTGGCTGGGTAGACGATTTTTTGGGATGATAGTAGCATACTTGGTAGTGTAATTCAAACAAAATTGTACTCCGACCCTTGGCAAAATATTAAGCCTGCTGTGAATTCGCTGCGAATTTGCAGCAAAATTGCTGCAATATTGCTGCAAACAATTCTTTCCTGCAAACAATTCATTCCTGCAAACAATTCAATTCTTCAACATGGTTGCAAATTAATTGGCAGCAGTATTTCTTAATTTAATTTTATTAATTAATTAATTAATTAATTAATTAATTAATTAATTATTATAATATATATATATTTTTTTTTGCAATATCGCTGCTGCTAAGTTTTAGTTTAATATTGCAGCAATTTAGCTAGAAACTTTTCACTTTGCCAATTTTTCTTGTGTGAGCATTTTTCATGTAACTTTTTTTTCCACTGATACTGCTCAAATTGAATTCATTGTGTTCATTTTTAGATTCCTAATTCAATAGACACGGAGGATGAAGAAACACACATGGTTTTTGCGAAAGGAAAACGATGGAAGCGATTACGTTTAATATCCAACCCGACCTTCTCCTCTCTTAAAATGAAACAAGTAAGAAAACATATGATTATGAAAAGTAAAAAGTTCGATTCTAGACTTAACGTGTCTGCATAAGATGCTTCTTTCTACTACAACCCTGGGTATCCTGACCCCACTATGGTAGCTTTATTTTAGGGTGATACAAATCGTTATTTGATTAATATGCGGTTGTATATGCTGTGGTATGTGTACATCGTAGCTTCGTTTCATTACAGATGGCGCCACTGATCCAGGAGTCGGTGAACAGTTTCATAGAGTCGATGGAGAAGCGTTGCCAGGAAGAAAAACCGTTCGATATCCACAGGTAAGTACTAACTACTGACAAAGTCACGTGAAGTTTCACAGATTGAATGGAAATTGATGAATAAAGCCGAAAGTTAGATGCTGCTTCGCGATTTCAATAAAACCATACGTTTCTGTATATGTTATATGGTACGTTATTTAATCTCGAGCTCCAATCTTCTGTATAATGTTAAATGCAACAAGACAAGAACCAGTGACGTGTGTGTGACAGACAGGACAATGTCTGATGCATCTCTGGAGATCTACTTGATGCATCTCTGGAGATCTACTTTACAGTTGTCAAATATAATCCAGATTATCATTGCTAATCCCCGAAGAAGGCCCAGGGACCGAAAGCTTTGATTATATTTGACAAATGTAAAGTAGATCTTCAGAGATGCATCAAAATAATATACTTATATTTACCTTAAGATCTATACGGTGAATTAACACGAATTATCAACGTGACAGACAGTAGGGTAGACAGAGGGGCTTTATACGTCAAAAAGGATGCTCAGATTCGGGGGAGTTTTATCCTCCTGCACAGACACTAGACATACATTCTTTATATATAAGTTGTTCTTTTCATCCTCTCACGCGTACACATGCATATACACTGATTGCTTAGCCGCCATTATCATTTTGTCATGCAATACACACGTGTTTTTGTAATGAGCTCCCTCTCTCTCTCTCTCTCTCTGTGCGATACAAATAATAACAGGAGTTTAATAAAGCTGGCTGTAATTATGGGCTATTCAATATTTAATGCATTTATGCTATGCGATTTCAGTGATTTCCAAGGCCTCACCCTGGAAGTCATCGGCTCGTGTGGCTTTGGTCTCGAGATTAACTCAGTGCGAGATAACATGTCACCATTTCTGGCAGCATGTCGTAAAGCGTTCAGTGCGTCACTGATGATGATGACGCCAATGTTAATTTCCGGTATGTTCACGTCAAAACAATGTTACTTTTAGAAAGAATAGGCCAGTTTTAGAGAAAGCCTTAAGTACTGAGACCTAAAATATAGCTGAAAGAATGTTTTCAGTTTATAGTTTATTCAAACATATAACATATCTTATAGGGATCCTATGGGATCCTATAGGAAATTTACGTAATGGAAAGTACTGAAACTTAAAATATAGCTGCAAGAATGTTTTAAGTTTATAGTTTATTTTAAACATATATGCAATATTCATCTTGTTAAATTGTACAATAAATTTTATTAGACCCAAATTATAAACACATCTTAAAGTAACTGGTATATCATTTTTTGGTCTTTGTTGATGACCAATAAGGCCGACAATCTGTGAAGTGCAAGTTTGGGCTGGCAGATTTGGGATAACCACAGATGTACTTTTTTGCTGGTATTTACCAACACTGTGGAAAATGTATAACAATGAATACTGGTGTTCAATCAAATAAATACATTGAATGCTACTTATAAACCTAAGGATCAAACTATCATTTAAGCAAGTAATCTTCTTATGGGATTTGTAGCTTTTATATGTCTCTGTTTGCAGAACTTTTTCCATCATTGACCGGTCTAGCCAAGGTGTTGAACAAATATCTGACGAGAAAGAGGGTGCATGACATTGACGTTCTGGTCAGCGCTGCCGTACAGTCCAGATTAAATGATCCAAAGGTAAACTGTATAAAAAAACATTATTGGTAAAAAACGGTCATGAAATGAAATGAACAAGTCTATTGATATTGACATCCTTATACATTAACCATTAAAAAAATTACAAATGCCAATCTCCAAAGCTTCCGGCCTATATGCCTTTCTTTTTTAATGATTTTGGGCTTATATGTCTTTCTTATTTAATGACAATTGCAATTCTTAAAATGTCAATAATTTGATTATGATGAATTCTTGAAATGAGATAAGATGACATCACATGTATCAAACACAGTTCAAACAACATGAATAAATACCCTCCAACAAAGTATTTCAGTGACCAATAAACTAATTAAAAGTGGTTGACAATCATGTGGTAAACTTTCAGTCTCGACGGGTGGATCTCCTGCAGCTAATGTTGGACGCCAAAACTGACAATCTGGACTCGACTGTACCCCAGGCGATGACGGACAGTGACGTAGTATCAACACAACAGGGAGGGGAAACGGGTCAGCAGAACGACTCTTCGTCATCTCCAAGAAAATTTACACAAAAGGCCAAACTCACAGAAAAGGTAAAAAGGCAATCTGGTGTATGTGAGTTTGTGTGTGTGTGTGTGTGTGTGTGTGTGTGTTTGCCAAAATATTCCACGTTTCACGTCTATATGCCGACGCCTTAATTGATACCAACACAAGCAGCGCCATTACTTCAGTAAAAGGTGACTGAGCAATCATTGTTGGCTTTGGTCTTTTTTATCTTTAGGAGGTCCAAACACAGTGTTCGACGTTTTTGTTGGCAGGGTATGAAACCACCAGCACCGCCCTGGCCTACGCTGCCTACCACCTAGCAACGAGTCCAGAGGCACAGAAAGCTCTTCAGGAGGAGGTAGACCAATACTGCACTGAAGAGGTAAGTGTCTATAGGGAAACAACTCTCTTGAAGTAAAGCAATTTTATATTGAAACAGCGATGTTGGAGTTGGATAGATTTTGGAGTAATATAGTTGGATTTAGAAGACGCTTCTGTACACACCTTTTAACGCGGAATGGCTGACGTGTACAATTAAGATATAAGTCGCTATAAAATAATGCAAGGTATTACAACTGATGCAGAGGGACATCTTTTTTCTCAAAGATGAGCCAACCATTACATATACATGACGTATTGATCACACTGGCGTAAATGTACATATATGGTGTTAATATCGTGATGGGAGAACTTGATTTTGATTTCTGTATGGAAAGAAATATCTTTGTTATGTTGATTAATTTTGTTTGGTAATTGTTTTTTTTTTTTTTTCAAAACTCTTTTAGGGTCCTCCATCGTATGAGACCATAAGTAAGATGCAGTATTTGGACATGTTCCTCAAGGAATCGCTACGACTACACCCTATCGCTCCATTGTAAGTGGACTCAAACATATAAATTTAATTAACATTTATATTCTTATATAAAAGGTTAGTATAAGCAGCTACATACCTTATTTTTCGCTTATGAAATAACCATTAATAAATTATTGGGAGCACCTGCTTTGTTCTGCCCTTTCCCTACATAACCTTGCTTTGGAAACGGATTCTAAAAATGAGGTTAGTCATTTTTCAGGGAAATATGTTTTTGATTGCCTTTTGTGTAATGATAAATACTGAATACTTTATGACGAAGCCTTGTAATCAGGGTATTTTAAGGAAAAGTTAAACAAACGTGTCTTATAGATGGAAACCACGGTAAAGGTAGAATGAGCCTCTTTAGAAACGATTACTTTTCGTCATGGACTCCCGCCAAACTACTTCTATAAAAATGTATCTTTTCACTAGTGGGCCAGGGAGAACAGCCCAAGAATCCAGCACAGTGATGGGTGTTCACATTCCCAAAGGCATGAAAGTCCGCTGTGACGTTTACAGTATCCACATGGATCCCGAGCACTGGGGACCCCCAGACCCCAGCCTCTTCTGTCCTGAACGGTAAGGTGCTGCCACCTATCGATATTCATATGATATTGCTACATAAATTAACTTCGAGTTGTTGGAAACTGAGATGATTAAATCTTATTTTGGTGCTTACATTTGAAATATTTGAGTTTTAACGTTTCAGTTTTTTTATTTTTTTTTCTAAAACACTTTCAGTCTTGTTGATTATCCTCTTACCTTGTGTTTGATTATAAAAAAATAACTGTTCGCAGGATGCTTCTAAATATTTCAGAAGAATTGTTTTATTTAATTAATAAGCATTTTTAAAAGCCTTGTAATTGTAATGTCAACTGACGCGATCCAAGCGCATTCATGCTCTTCAACAGTCATGTGTAAGCACTGTTCACGTGACATGACGTAACTCTACGTCATCTTTGTGCTGTTCTTCTATCCAGGTTCACGACAGAGAGGATTGCTAAGCGTCACCCTATGGCCTGGCTCCCATTTGGGGCAGGCCCCAGAAACTGCATTGGTATGAGGTTCGCCCTGATGGAGGCCAAGATGACCTTGGCGTGTCTCGTGAAGAAGTTCAGCGTTGAGACCTGTGCTGAGACGCAGATTCCGTTGGTTCACGTGGCCAGTAGCACAGTGCAGCCGGAGAAAGGTGTCACTGTGCGTCTTACAAGGCGGCATGTGGTGGCCAATAATAGTGAAGAATAGACATTAACTGAACGTATTCACAAAGCTCCATAGCACGTGTCATAATTGTCAATGTTTCATGACTACTCTGTCAGCAAGACTTAGCTTACATACTTTTTCAATTTAATCAATATACTTTTTACAGAGATATTATTTCACAATGCGTTTTAAAACAATGTGCAGCGTAACTCCAGCTATTCAATATGAGATGTCTGTAAACATACCAATGCACAGTGATGAATATAACAAATATGTTTTCATTGTTCATATAAAAGTTTATTTGTTTTATTTTATGTATTAATTGTTTAGAGAAAATTATTGTATGTTTTGTATTGTATATAGATAATTGTTGTACATGTATTTTATAGAGAGAATAATCTGGTTCTAACCGTCTCAGACATTTATATACTGTCATGGACATCAAGGGGTTTGAAAGATATATCGCAACTCGGTACAAGCGGTCATCACACGACCTGTTAGTGAAGAAGGACTGCCTGTTCTACGACCTTTTTAGAGGATCTTAAATGTATCTGTGGTACCGGTGAAATCCAAACATGTTTGTGCCTTTATTGTATGACAATCTGTATACGTAAGGATTACCCTGCGTTAGATTTTAGAGAGGCGGACCTATACGCACGATGTGTATCATTGTAAATATGCTGTAAACTGTTTATTTTCCTGATGCTAACATTGTGTTACCGTTTTATTAGTATGTGTTAAGACCATAACGACTTCATCAACTTGGGTGTAATCATGAATTTGTTTTTTTGTTATGCTGGTTATATATTAACCTTCAATATCAATAATCTTATTTAACTAATATTGTTGGTTGATTCTGAGATTTTGGGGATTTGAGTCACCTTTGAATTTACGTAATTACCAATCAAATATTGAGAACGATAGCGTCTTGCCTATATGAAAAGGTGACGGGAAAATCTGTATAAACAGTACATTGTGAACTGAGGTCAATCATCACACCATCACCAAATAAGGAAATATTAATAGATTGAGGATTTGCCTAGAATGGGACATTGGCGAAAATAAAAAGAATCTGTATAATACGTCATACCAATGAAATGTGACATGAGGGGGAAAAAGGTCGAGTTTAATGATTGTAAGGTTACGAATATACGAATAAACCTTTTGCATACCAAAAAAAAAAACAACAAAAAACGAAATTTCTACGTTCCTATAGCTACGTGGTAAATTGACTTTACCATAATTTGGTGGAGGCATCAACGATACCGTTACTCGGGGTGAATCAATAGAAAATTGGGGCTTACCGTCTGCGAATATTCGGCAAACAATAGGGAAGAAAACAAAGGATCTCGAAAGTAAGACGTCACCACAGAGACCTGATAAAAAGTCTCAATTTTTCGAAGGCTCGCGGATTGTGGGCCAACGCCTTAATTAGAAACAGACCAATTAAAAATTCTTCTAATCGATTTTTCGGAGTATATAAAGATGACCCAACAGAGATCTTAGTAATTGAAAAATCACAACGACGACCACAAATAGTAACATATTATACATTATCAGTAACTTATCCAGGTATTCATCAGTATTATAAGCAGATAGAGCAATGGAGGATAATAGAAAAAAAAGATCCAAGGGCGTGTCTTTAGATTTAGATTTGACACCTTGGTAATTCCAAAATAGGATATCGAAGAAGGGATGAATCATTACAAAAATTGTATCTGTTACACAGAGCAAATAATTTCGATTTTCCATCGATGTTGACTACGCAACATTTAACTAATACGAAACCAGCAAGTCAAAATAAAAAAAGGACTGTGTACATCACAACTGTGAATATTTGGAAAGTATACAATAAACCAAGAAAAACAGAGACTTGTTCCGTAATTTCAAAATTATTTGAAAGACAAAAAGTTCTGAATAACCATTTCTAAACTATGTCTCCTCCATGGGACGAGATGTACAGCAGACACAGCTATATCAACATGTGACGTCAATAGCAATTCTAAATGGACCGGTGCCACAAATTAGGTCATCTGTGGCTCGAAGGGAACCACGTTTTTGACATGTGTCTTGGACCACACACGACTCCATTGCATACTTCTCGCGAACTCCTTGCGAGTGGAGGAAGCTACGTTTGCGGCCTCGCTGTTCGCAGATTATTTGTAGAATCTTTCGGACATTTCCAACGTCCTCCGTACGTGCTTACGGGCTGTCTGCGAATTTCAAATTTCACAAGAAGAACTTGCGCGGCACGTGAGATTCTACGCAAAATTTGGTCGTAAACTGGTCGTAAGAGCCAGTACGTACTGTTGTGACAGAGGCTTAACATGCATAGGGCACCTATTCCGATCTAAACCCCTTTCATCCCCCCCCCCACCACCACCCCACATCACAACAACGTTTAATAACAAATAAGTGCCTGCAGTTAATCGCCTCTTTAGGTCAGCCCCATAATTTTAAAACTCAGTTTTTTTTATTCCACAGTACCAGTACCGGGGTTACATCCTTTTTTATGGACGTTTTGGAGCATTCAGACAATGTGCCTGTCTGTAATATTGCGCATCGTTATACAGCGAGTGCAGACAGTGCAGTTTCTATATATAACTATATTGGGTCATAATTTCTGCCCTCGAACAAAATAGGTAGCGTGCCACGGCTCATATTAACAAGCTGTTCATATAAAACCGGTTTACACGATACGTATTAGTTAGTATAGGAAAATTAGTTGCTACACCGAAAGTTCAGCCATCTTGATAAGTAGCTGGCTCGAATGTGTGCTGGGTGGGAAAACTACTCAGCCCGTTCTGAAAGTTGTCGGCCCCGGGCAGCCAATCCAGCCTTTATTTCTAACACCGATTACATGAGTCTGTAAGCTGGTCAAAGGAAAAAAGGTATGTGTGATAAATATTGTTTATGGATTTTCTTTAGGCCTATACTTCTATTGATGATTATTCCTGACAATTGAACTGTGACGTATTATTTAGACTAAGGAGCTATTCCCAGACCCTATAGTACTAACTGTGGATCTAACTGGGAATCGTACTTACTGGGATTCTCGCTAAATTGCAATCAACTTAAGCGGCTTAGATCTCTGTCCCGCCTACTGAAGCTTGTTGGGGGTAATTAATCATCGTTTAGCAGCTTCAGTAGGCATACCATACACCTAAGCCGCCGAAGCTGAAATCAATTTAGCGAGAAACCCCTTGGATATGGATCGATCCTGATAGTTCGATCTAGGGTATGGGGGCCCAGTCTTAATTTCCATTTAGAACTACCGAAAGATTTGCTGCACAAAGCAAGCGCAATGGGGATAGTAAGATAGTATAAACTATATTAACATATCAGACCATATTATATTATATATTGCAAGTAAGTTTTATAGAAAGGTCAGTGCGCTGTGTCCTATATATAACTGTCCTCTCGGCAAGGATAATCTTTGTGTCCTCCTCTGAATTTAAGGGGATAACAGCACTTCATATGAATTTAAAACTTCCCAAATAAATATATTGCAAAGAAAACAGAAAACAGAATTGGATTTTACCACCAAAGTGGTAGTTATGGCAACTGCACTTAAATCCGTGCTTGCCACCGGACTGCATGAACCTTCAAAAATGGTTACCCTCTTAAGAGATAATTTTAAAAAAAGAACAACTTTGAATGTCTGTAGGATAGTTTTTGTCAATTCCTAGAGGTGAAAACTGACTATGTAATGTTTATCATGGGGATTACATGCGTAGACATTTAATAACTGTACAAGACTGACGCACCTGCGATTCATTTAGTGACAGACCCTCAGTACTCATATGAGAGAGAGAGGGATATATATATATATATATATATATATATATATATATATATATATATATAACATGTTGCCAGTATGTTAAGATCAGATATCAATTGATGGAAAACCCATTTGCTGTTACATTGAAAAACAGGGTAAACTGATTTGTAGATTACTACCTCCGCCAAGGAGGTTATGTTTTCACCCGTGTCTGTCTGTCTGTCTGTCTGTTTGTCATCAATTTGACTCAAAAAGTTATGGACCGAATTTGGTGAAATTTTCAGGAACTGTCAGAAGTGCGCCAAGGAAGAGATGATTATTTTTTGGTGGTGATCCGGATAATCGATCAATAATCAATCAATAATCAAAAAACTAAATCATTATAGAATGAAAATTTAGGGGTGAAACGGCATTGGGTGGAGACTTTGTTGCCTTGGCGGAGGTCTGCGATCTCGGAGTGCTTTTCTTGTCTAGGTTTATTTTAAACTGCTAAATCTTTCTTTCAGACTACTCACAATGTGGCTGTATTTAGTTGCTGTTATCGTCATCCTGGCGTCAGTATGGCTGTGGTAGGTACAATATGTACTGTATATATCACAATATGTATCTATAACTGCATGATGGATTTAAAGGTCCCCGTAAGGGCCCCGAAAAGTTGGTATTTTAGAGGGCAAACAATGCCATCAGGTATTATACCGGTATGTATTCCTAACTAAGATGTCAGTGTTGTTTTTCATTTAGGCAGAGGATAGACAGTTACCGCGTGTTCGAGAAGATGGGAATCAACGGTCCTCCACCAAACCTCATATTCGGAAATTTCAGACAAATAATGGTTTGTGTTCATGTTATTAAATGACAGCACTGAAAATATACACTGTATAGTTCTATTTTCCCTTATTTTTATTCAGATAATTGTGAAAAATTACCGACTTTTCCTTGGAATGATAACATACGCTGTATTCACCATAAGCATATAAGGTAATTGCCAGTTATTTCTGTTATTATACATGAAGAAGGCTTTTCACACTTAGTAACCCTTGTCGTCACTTTATCCATGTACCCCAGTGCACGTATGGGGAACAGCAGCTGTGGTGTTTAAGCTGCAATGAGCTTTAATTACAATTATACTTGTAGAAAGGACGTAGGAACATTTGTTCATGTTTTGGGTTGCTATCTGAAATGTCAAATATTTACGGTGAAAAGCCATTCCAACATGCATCCAGAATTTGTAAAAGATAAAACTCAATCTGGATACCAAAATTTGAACTATACACACACTGGACAATAGAAGTGCCACCCCCTGAATAAGAGTGATCAAAATATTAACCTGAAGAGGCGGAATATAAGCAATGTCAGAATATCGATAGCCTACAATTGAATTGTTCAGTCAGAACCGTTTCTTTTGTAAAATCTGATGTTAATAAAATGAAACCAGGAGCATATCATTCCACAGTTATTAGTTATTTATCTCCCCAAAGAATTGCACATTCATTTTGATCTAGTCCCAGCCAGTTTGGATGGCATACAGAAAGTGGGAACAGCTCTATGGAAAAACGTTTGGGTATGTATTCAACGCATTCTTCACATATATACAAAATATTCCCAAGTCTTTATTAGTCTTTATTATCATGTATTATTTTTGTTGCTTTCTAAATCTCTTCAAAAGACTGATGACTAATCACCATTATTTATTGCGGTACATGCAAGATATATGAATTGATTACCACTGATCCAAACCATAATTTAACTAGAGCTTGTCTTTATTTTAGGGTCTTCTTCCTCAATTCTCCCAGTATAGTGACCTCAGATGTCCATTTTCTGCAAGAAGTCTTTGTCAAACAATTCAGTAAATTTCACCAAAGAGAAGTGAGTAACAATTATCAATAACCCCGTAAAGATTTATTGGTAATATAATCATCATAATTATTTCCCCAAACATGCCGCTTACCAAGAACGACAATTGTGTTTTCATTTTGATTAGTTGACTGTATTTCAGACCCTATTCCCATGGACATTATCTGTCTACGTCAATCGACCCAACTCTGCTTAACTGAATGACACACCTTCTCCTGTTTCAAACTTACTCGTTTAATCACCAACTTTTTTTCTTGTATTCTTCTTAACGCCAGGAGGAGGCGTGACATTCAGCTGTTGCAGACAGCGAGCGTCCCCACGGAGTTAAGTCGATCGATGGTAGACCGATGGTGACTCTGTGAATGAGACCTTGAATAATGATTAACAGGACTATTGTTGGGCTGGGTAGACGATTTTTTGGGGTGATACAGCATACTTGGTAGTGTAATTCAAACAAAAATGTACTCTGACCCATGGCAAAATATAAGGCCTGCTGCGAATTCGCTGCAAATTTGCAGCAAAATTGCTGAATATTGCTGCAAACTGTAATTCAGTCTTGCAATTTTGTAGCAAATTTGCTTCACCATGGCTGCATATTGGCAGCGGTACTTTTAAATTTAATTAATTAACTTATTAATTAATTTATTATTTTATTTATTTATTTATTTATTTATTTATTTATTATTATTATTATTATTATTATTATTATTATTTTATTTTTGCAATCTCGCTGCTGCTTAGTTTTAGTTTAATATTGCGGCAATTTTGCTAAAAACTTTTCACTTTGCTAATTTTTCTTGGGTGAGCACTTTTCATGTAACTTCGTTTTCCAATGATACTGATCAATTTGAATTCATTGTGTTTATTTTTAGATTCCTAATTCAATAGACACGGAGGATGAAAAAACAAACATGGTTTTCGCGAAAGGAAAACGATGGAAGCGATTACGTTTAATATCCAACCCGACCTTCTCCTCTCTTAAAATGAAACAAGTAAGAAAACATATGATTATGAAAGTTAAATAGTTCATATGGAGACTTAACGTGTCTGCATAAGATGCTTCTATCTACTACAACCCTGGGTATCCTGACCCCACCGTGGTAGCTTTATTTAAGGGTGATCCAAATCGTTATTTGATTAATATACGGTTGTATATGCTGTGGTATGTGTAGCTTCGTTTCGTTGCAGATGGCGCCACTGATCCAGGAGTCGGTGAACAGTTTCATGGAAGCGATGGAGAAGCGTTGCCAGGAAGAAAAACCGTTCGATATCCACAGGTAAGTACTAACTACTGACAAAGTCACGTGAAGTTTCACAGATTGAATGGAAATGGATGAATAAAGCCGAAAGTTAGATGTCTGTTTCGCGATTTTTTAATAAAACCGTACGTTTCTGTATATGTTATACTGTACGTTATACCTTCAATTATTTAATCTCGAGCTCCAATCTTCTGTATAATGTTAAATGCAACAAGACTTAAGAACCAGTGACGTGTGTGTGACAGACAGCATAAGTATTATTTCTGATGTATCTCTGAAGATTTACTTTACAGTTGTCAAATATAAGCCAAGCACGCGGCCCTTGGGTTTTTCTAGCAGTGATAATCTGGATTATATTTGACAACTGTAAATTAGATCTTTAGAGATGCATAAGAAATTTATTTTCCTTAAGATCTATACGGCGAATTAACATGAAACCTCAATGTGACAGACAGTGGGATAGACAGAGGGGCTTTACACGTAACGTCTGTATTCAAAGAGGATGAGGTTCGGGGGAGTTTAATCCTCCTGCACATTAAATGTACTAGACATACATATTCTTTATATATGAATTGTTCTTTTTATCCTCTCACGAGTACAAATGCATATACACTGATTGCGTAGCCGCCATTATAATTTTGTCAGGCAATACCCACGTGTTTTTTTAATGAGCTCTCTCTCTCTCTCTCTCTCTCTCTCTCTCTCTCTCTCTCTCTCTCCAATACAAATAATAACTGGAGTTTAATAAAGCTGGCTGTAATTATGGGCTATTCAATATTTAAACTATTTATGCTATGCGGTTTCAGTGAATTCCAAGGCCTCACCCTGGAAGTCATCGGCTCGTGTGGTTTTGGTATCGAGCTGAACTCAGTGCGAGATAACACGTCACCATTTCTGGCAGCATGTCGTAAAGTGTTCAGCACGCCACTGGTGATGATGTGGCCAATGTTTATTGCCGGTATGTTCACGTCATAACAATGTTACAGGCCAGGCAAGTTTTAGAGAAAGTCTAAAGTAATGAGACTTAAAATATAGCTGCAAGAACGTTTTCAGTTTATTGATTATTTAAACATATGTGCAATATTCATCTTGTTACATATACTATAAATTTTAGTAGACCCAAATTATAACAAGATCTTATAAACCCTATAGGGAAGCTTTCCTATAGGATCACCCTATGGGATCCTATAGGGAATTTCCTTAAGAGAAAGTGCTGAGACTTAAAATAAAGCTGCAAGAATATTTTAAGTTTATTGTTTATTTTAAACATATATGCAATATCCATCTTGTTTCATTGTACTATGAATTAAACTAGACCCAAATTATAAACACATCTAAAATTTACTCGTATATCATTTTTTGGTCTTTGTTGATGACCAATAAGGCCAACAATCTGTGGAGTGCAAGTTTGGGTTGGCATATTTGAGATAACCACAGATGTAATTTTTTGCTGATATTTACCAACATGGTAGAAAATATATAACAATGAATACTGGTGTTCAAACAAATAAATACATTGAATGCTACTTATAAACCTAAGGATCAAACTATCATTAAAGTGAGTCATCTTTTCATGCGATTTGGAGCTTATATATGTCTCTGTTCGCAGAACTTTTGCCATCGTTGACCGGTCTAGCCAAGGTGATGAACAAATATCTGACGAGAAAGAAGATGCGTGACATAGACGCTCTGGTCAGCGCTGCCGTACAGTCCAGATTAAATGATCCAAAGGTAAACTGTATAAAAAACATTATTGGTAAAAAACTGTCATGGAATGAAATGAACAATTCTATTGGTATTGAAACCGTATACATTAACAATTAAAACAATAAAAATGGCGTATATGACTTTCTTTTTTAATGACGTCCGGCTTATATGCTTTTCTAATTTAATGACAATTGCAATTGTTTAAATGTCAATAATTTGATTATGATGAGTTCTTGAAATGAGATACGTTGACATCACATGTATCAAATACAGTTCAAACAATAAACTAAATACCCTTCAACAAATTATTTCAGTGGCCAATAAACTAATTGAAAGTGGTTTACAATCACGTGGTAAACTTTCANTGTGTGTGGGGGGGGGGGGGGGACAAAAAATCCCACGTTTCATGACTATATGCAGACACATTAATTGATACCAACACATGCAGCGCAAAAAGAAAAAGGTGACTGAGAAATCATTGGTGGCTTTGGCCTTTTTTATCTTCAGGAGATCCAAGCGCAGTGTGCGTTGTTTTTGTTCGCAGGTTATGAAACCACCAGCACCGCCCTGGCCTACGCCGCCTACCACCTAGCAACGAGTCCAGAGGCACAGAAAGCTCTCCAGGCGGAGGTAGACCAATACTGCACTGTAGAGGTAGGACTGCAAACATATCTCTCTTGAAGGGGAGCGATGTAGGAATACACACGCAGGATAGATAACAGTAATATAGTTGGATTTAGAAGACGCTTCTGTACACACCCTTTTAACGCGGAATGGTGGACGTGCACAATTATGATACAAGTCCCTATAAAATAATGCAAGGTATTACTACTAATGCAGAGTGACTTTTTTTTCGAAGATGGGCCAACCATTAACTATACATGACGTATTGATAACACTGGCGTAAATGTACATGTATGGTGTTAATGTCGTGATGGGAGAACTTGATTTTGATTTCTGTATGGAAAGAAATATCTTTGTTATGTTGATTAATTCTGTTTGTTAATTGTTTTTTTTTTTTCAAAACTCTTTTAGGGTGCTCCATCGTATGAGACCATAAGTAAGATGCAGTATTTGGACATGTTCCTCAAGGAATCGCTACGACTACACCCTATCGCTCCATTGTAAGTGGACTCAAACATATAAATTTAATTAACATTTATATTCTTATATAAAAGGTTAGTATAAGCAGCTACATACCTTATTTTTCGCTAATGAAATAACCATTAATAAATTATTGGGAGCACCTGCTTTGTTCTGCCCTTTCCCTACATAACCTTGCTTTGGAAACGGATTCTAAAAAATGAGGTTAGTCATTTTTCAGGGAAATATCTTTTTGATTGCCTTTTGTGTAATGATAAAAAACTGAATACTTTATGACGAAGCCTTGTAATCAGTGTCTTTTAAGGAAAAGTTAAACAAACGTGTCTTATAGATGGAAACCACGGTAAAGGTAGAATGAGCCTCTTTAGAAACGATTACTTTTCATCATGGACTCCCGCCAAACTACTTCTATGAAAATGTATCTTTTCACTAGTGGGCCAGGGAGAACAGCCCAAGAATCCAGCACAGTGATGGGTGTTCACATTCCCAAAGGCATGAAAGTCCGCTGTGACGTTTACAGTATCCACATGGATCCCGAGCACTGGGGACCCCCAGACCCCAGCCTCTTCTGTCCTGAACGGTAAGGTGCTGCCATCTATCGATATTCATATGATATTGCTATCAAGTTCGAGTTGTTGTAAACTGAGATAAAGTTTGGAACTATAATTAAATCTTATTTTGATGCTTACATTTGAAATATCTGAGTCTTAACGTTTCAGTTTTTCTTTAAATTGTTTCTAAAACACTTTCAGTCTTGTTGATTATCCTATTACCTTGTGTTTGATTATATATAAAAAATAACTGTTCGCAGGATGCTTCAAAATATTTTAGAAGAATTGCTTTATTTAAATAATAAGCATTTTTAAAAGCCTTGTAATTGTAATGTCAACTGGCGCCATCCAAGCGTATTCATGCTCTTGAATAGTCGTGTGTAAACACGGTTCACGTGACATGACGTAACTCTACGTCATCTTTGTGTTGTATTTCTATCCAGGTTCACGGCAGAAAGAGTTGCTAAGCGTCACCCTATGGCCTGGCTTCCATTTGGGGCAGGCCCCAGAAACTGCATTGGTATGAGGTTCGCCCTGATGGAGGCCAAGATGACCTTGGCTTGTCTCGTGAAGAAGTTCAGCGTTGAGACCTGTGCTGAGACGCAGATTCCGTTGGTTCACGTGGCCAGGTGCACAGTGCAGCCGGAGAAAGCTGTCACCGTGCGTCTTACAAGGCGGCATGTGGTGGTCAATAATACTGAAGAATAGACATAGTAGTGGAACGTATTCACAAAGTTCCATAGCATGTGTCATAATTGTCAATGTTGTATGACTAATATCTGTCAGCAACTTTTTTTTTATTCACAAAAAGACAAACAAAAATACATATGTAGACACACACACACACACACACAAGACATTCATTATACATTAAGTAAACATGAAAAATTTGTCGATAGCCAGACTATGTACAAAACAGTATATTACAAGTGATGCTGCACATTACACGATACGAACATTTTACATTTTACATAGAAGAAATTAGCGAAAAAGCAAAGTAAATTTATAAGTGGAGAACTAGACAAAGATAGAATCCCATGTTCTCCACTCTGTAAGAAAATGGCCTAATTGAATTTTTTTTGAGAAACATATTTTTCCAATTCGAATTTTGTTTTGATATATGACAGAAGGGAAGGGAAGGTCGGCTGCATTTTTCTTTTAAAACAGGTATATATATATATGAATTTGGAGACGAGAATAATGTAATTTAGAGGTTTGAAATTTGTTTTGGATACTCCAAAAATTATATTTTCATCCGAAAGTGTAATTCTTTTATCAGTCTTGTTAGCAATCAAGCGTTTCATTTCAATCCAAATGTTTCTTATTCGATAGTAATTTAAAAATACATGTCGCAAATCTTCCCTCTCCGCTCCACAGATAAAGCATTTCTCTGACACCTCAATACCGATTCTTTTCAGGTATGACCTAACTGGTAAGATTCTAAAAATTATTCTGTATTGGAACCATTGAAGTTTTGCTTCTCGTGTTACATAGAAACAATTTTCGTAAACATACTTCCAAGTGATATATATATTTAGATCTAGGTTCCATTTCCTTTCGTGTATCAAGTTTTCAAGAGTTTCACTCATGAGAACCTGATAGAAATCTTTACACCCATTTCGACTCTTTATAAGTAGCTGAACCGGCTGAGGAATATAAGGAAATAAAATGTCTTCAAAACTTTCTTCATTGTTCTTTTCTTTTAGACTACATTTTAAACTGTTACGTATTCCAAAATATTTTAGATCACATACTCTTTGAAATCCAAATTTCCTTTCCAGTTCAGCTTTGGTTAAAAAATTTCCTTCGTTGAAAAGATCGCCAATTATTCTTATACCCTTATTGTACCATTCTTTATCAAATATTGATACCCCACCCAATTTTACTTTACCATTATACCACAGAGGTTCAAGAGCGATATTGCTATTCATATTTTCTATACCGTATGTCTTTCCAGGAGATAATGACATCTTTCCAAAAGCTGTTATTACAGTTGCGTAAGAGTATATCTAAATAATCACTTCCATAGTCAAAAATATTCCAAATAGATTGTAAATCAAAGGTGCTCTGGATAATAGTGTTATATACGTTATTTTTAAGGTAAAGTCTGCTTATCCATGTACATTTTAATGCCGTTATGAATTTACTTAAGTCTGTCATTTTTAGACCACCATATTCATAATATTTTACTATCTGACCTCTCTTTACCTTATCAATTTTGCTACCCCAAATTCATTGCAAAAAAATGAAATTTAGTTTTTTGATGAATACTGGATCTGGATTTGGAAGAGAAATGAAAAGATGGTTCAGCATTGGGATGATAAGCTTACATACTTTTTCAATTTAATCAATTGCAACATACTTTTTACAGAGATATTATTTCACAATGTGTTTTAAAACAATGTGCAGCGTAACTCCAGCTATCCAATATGAGATGTCTGTACACATAACAATGTACAGTGATTAATATAACAAATATGTTTTCATTGTTCATATGAAAGTTTATTTGTTGTATTTTATGTATTGTATAGAGAAAATTATTGTATGTTATGTATTGTACATAGATAATTATTGTATTTTATATATAGAAATAATAATCTGTTTCTAACCGTCTCATACATTTATACTGACATGGACATTAAGGGGTTTGAGAAAATATTGCAACTCGGAAAAAGCAGTCATCACACGAGCTGTCAGTGAAGAAGGAACGCCTGTCCCACGACCCTTTAGAGGAGCTTTTATTGTATGACAATCTGTATACGCAAGGATTACCCTGCGTTAGATTATAGAGAGGCGGACCTATACGCACGATAAGTGTGTCAATGTAAATATGCTGTTAACTGTTTATTTTCCTAGTGCTAACATTGTGTTACCGTTTTATTAGTATGTGTTAAGGCCATAAAGACTTCATCAACTTGGGTGTAATCATGAATTTGTTTTTTTGTTATGCTGGCTATATATTAACCTTCAAGATCAATAATCTTATTTAACTAATATTGTTGGTTGATTCTGAGATCTTGGGGATTTGAGTCACCTTTGAATTTACGTAATTACCAATCAAATATTGCCTATATGAAAAGGTGACGGGAAAATCTGTATAAACAGTACATTGTGAACTGAGGTCAATCATCACACCATCACCAAATAAGGAAATATTAATAGATTGAGGATTTGCCTAGAATGGGACATTGGCGAAAATAAAAAGAATCTGTATAATACGTCATACGAATGAAATGTGACATGAGGGGAAAAAGGTCGAGTTTAATGATTGTAAGGTTACGAATATACAAATAAACCTTTTGCATACCAAAGAGAACGAATTTTCTACGTTCCTATCGCTACGTGGTAAATTGACTTTACCATAACTTGGTGGAGGCATCATCGACACCGGTACTCGGGGTGAATCAATAGAAAATTGGGGCTTACAATAGGGAAGAAAACAAAGGATCTCGAAAGTAAGACGTCACCACAGAGACCTGACAAAAAAGTCTCAATTTTTTCGCAGGCTCACCGATAGTGGGGCCAACGCCAAAATTAATAAGAAACAGACCAATTAAGAATTCTTTTATTCGATTTTTCGGACTATATAAAGAAGACCCAACAGAGATCTTAGTAATTGAAAAATCACGATGACCACAAATAGTAACATTATATACATTACCAGCATCCAGTTATTCATCAGTAAAATATGCAGAAAGAGCAATGGAGAATAAAAGAAGAAAAAGAAAGTATACAATGAACCAAGAGATTTGTTCCGTAATTTCCAAATTATTTGAAAGACAGCAAGTTCTGGAGAACCATTTCTAAACTATGTCTCTTCCATGCGACGAGATGTACAGCAGACACAGCTATATCAACACGTCACGTACGTCTTTAGCAATTCTAAATGGATCGTTGCCACAAATTAGGTCATCTGTGGTTCAAAGGGAACCACATGATCAAGACCAATTATTGGAGCAAGCAAGGCTGGCGGAGAATGCAGTGCAACCGTCAGGAGAAAAGCACATTATGAACATTATGGAGGTAATGGCCAAAATCGACGTGTGGTCAAGTGGTCAACGCATATCGCCCCACAGACGTCCATACAGTGGACACAGCTGGGGGAGGGGAATGAACATCGTCACAACCGAAAGAACAGAAAATAACATTGCAACAGTGCAACAGCAATCTCCGGGAGGTAATAGTGGATACCCCACGCCAGTTTCGGTACCAACAATTCGGGGGTGCATGGAAGCGTCAACAATCTACCAATGAGGGAGATCCAAGGTCAAGTCAAACTCAATCATTCCCGATGTGTTAAGGCTGTGGTGAGTTCACACATTTTATAAGTAACTGTTTCACTCGGAATTCACGTCCTTATGTGTGTAATCGAGTGGGGTAACTTGAGAAAGCTATTACCCTAAATTACTATATGTTTATATGGTAGGTAAAATGATAAGAAAGAAATCAGATCTTCGACTATTCACTGTCATCAATTTCAAACTGTGCTGTCAATTAAATTTTTAAAAAAATGAGTGTTGATACATTAGTCGATACTTAGGCGTCGTTAAATCTTGTGTCAGAGCAATTTTTGAAATTGTTAGATAACCGAAATATTACATTTTATAAAACATCTCACATGAAGAATGTTTCTGTAGTGAATATATCATTACAGAATGTTTTTGGTTCAGTCAAACTGCCCATTTCTTTTGGCGATAGAGTCATAAATCAGTCACGCCAATTGCCTTGAAAATTGATCATAAGCATGCTTTTTTATTAAGCACACTATTAAATTGACGTTGGTTTGAACTATCTTACAATAACCAAATACTATGTACAGATATCATTATATCTGTATGTATTGATGGTTCTATTATAAACTTTGTATTTTAATTGATAAACGGAGTGTGGGCAGAAACGTGGAACAATGCCATGATATCACTCAATAGGTGCCAGAAGAGATGCTTTTTTATTAAAAAAAAACATACACGACGAGATGAATCATTTGATATAAAAATTTGCGACAATTTCGGTCAGAGGGTAGTTGTCTGTGGCCGAGTCATTCTTCTCTGTTTACCTGATACTTTCTCCTTATGACAATATCATGTCAGATGACACTGCAACATTGACAGCTATTGTCATTCTACTAGCAAGAAGTCAAAATGGTTGATTTTATGTTGGGGTGACCCCACGGATAGTTTGTGCATGTGTTTACGCGCTTCACCGTGCTCTTCAGGGGAAACAAGGCAAACGTGCATTATTTGTTTGAAACATTATACAATTATAGCGCAATTCATGGCATTTTAAGGTATTACGATGTAATACTGGCGGCAAACCCGATTTTGTCAGCTTACTGAATTATTTATTGGAAGCTATTACATAATGCTATTCAGCAGTTATGTAAAACTAGTTTTATGGGTGAATAGGTGAATTAAGGAAATAGTTTTATTCGTTACATCTCTCACGATAATCTGGCCGTCAAGTCAAACATTTGAAGAATCAATGAAGTGTAGACGGTCACATTATGTCTAACTGATTTTTGATTCACAGATAATATACATAGAACAGTATATCCCCACTGTATGCTGCATTATATTACACCAGCATTAAGCTTCAGATCAATTTCTCCCTGACCACAGCTATGTAAACCCTGTAACAGGTAGCTCATATGATTTCGTACGCCACTATACAGATCTTTTCCATTTCACCTATTCTGAATCTACAACAAAGAGTTCTTTACAGTAGC